CTTCCTCCATCAATAACCTCTCCATCCACACACGCCCTCCCAATCATGGACCCAATCTAACGTTTAATACGGCCTCAGTCCTCACCATGGCACGTTTTTCTTCTTCTGTTTTGTTTCGTCCTCTTCCTCCTCGCCATTCCTCCGCCTTCCCTCCCTCCACAGTTCTCCGTTTTTTTCATTTCCGCAGCCATCAAAGACGTCATTATCGGCTGCCGGCTTTGGTCCGAAATTCGCGCGCCTTTGGCTAGCCACTCTGGTCCGTTTGTTATGATTTATTTTGGGTGTCACGACGCGGTGGAATCAAGCGCTCGTCAATTTTTGGGCATACGGGGGTTATTGGTATCATAACGTGAAAGCTGATTTATTTGCCTTGCTTCCAATGAAATAAGTATCCTTTGATCTTGAATAGAACTCGAGATATTTGCGATTGAAGGAAGTGAGTTCGCCTGGTTATAGTGGTGAAATTAGCGAGAAAATGGCCGCTAAAATTTGGTAACTCCAATATCTAAAGAGTCTGAAAACTGAAAAAAATGACGTAATTTATTTTGAGCCTTTCATCAACGTATTTCTGTAAAATTCACATGGAAATGTATTTTTATATGAACATAAAAAAGGTTAAGCAAAATAAAAATTAAAAATTAAAAAATTCGATCCAAATATCCTAACTGGTGGGAAATATATGCCTGTTTCTCAGATTTCGATATTTTGACGAGCGCCTTATTTCAGAACGCTGCCTCCTCACTGATGCGGATATCACGATTTTTTCTCGGGCGGAGTGACCCAATCTGGGCGCTGATTGAGGGCAGGTACATGAGAGGTGCAAGAGGAGGAGGAAAAGAAGGAGGGAGGGAGGGAGGGAGGGAGGGAGGGAAAGTAAACACAGAGAAATTGAGAACATGACAGGGAGTGGGAAATTGCGGTGGCGACTTATGTCGTGATTTTTTTTTCTGAGTCTTTCTCACACACTCTTTTTCTCTTTTTCTCCGTTTCTCACAATCTCTATCTTTCAACCTCTTTCTTTCTCTCTTTCTCTCTCTCTCTCTCTCTCTC